TCCAGATCAAAGCTGGAATGGCTACCCACTACAGTGGGAGCCAGGTGGCTCAGTGGGTAAAGATGCCTGCTGCCAGGCCTGACAACTGAGCTCAATCTCCACACATCGTAGAAGGAGACAGACAACTCTCACAAAGTGTCCTCTGACCCCTACATATGCACCACAGTTTGCAGGTATGCATACAGACACCCACAATAAATATAAATCTTTGTTTTTTGAGGCAGGGTCTCTCTATATATAGCCATGGCTGTCGTCAAACTCAAGAGATCTGCTGGCTTCTACCTCCTAAGTGCAAGAATTAGAGACATGTGTCACCTGGTTTAATTATAACTTTTTTTTTTTTTTTTTGAGAAAGTGTTTCTCTGTGTAGTTCTGGCCATCCCAGAACTCACTATGTAGACTAGGCTGGCCTCAGACTCACAGAGAGATCCACTTGCCTCTGCCTCCTGAGTGCTGGAATTAAAGCGTGGGCCACTACATCCTTTTGTTTGTGTTTATTTTTTTAATTAAAAAAAGAGAATGACACAATATCCTAAAACTAAAATCTGTTTAATCGACTTGTTTTTTCACAAGTACTGGCCATATTTTAGTAGCACCTGGGTGAGGATTGAAGTTTTAGAAACAGCATCTGAAACATATGAAAGCAAGCCTCAGAATGAACATGTACTAGACAAACCTGCTCTACAGATTGGCTGCAACTCTAGATGCCAACACTGGGAAGAAATTAATAATTATGCAAGACATCCTATCTTTGGAGAAGAAATCTGCTCATGTTTAAAAAATAAGTCAACTTCCCACTTTTGCTTGTCAAACATAATAATCTATAAGATGTCTACAGATAGCAGATCACTTGATGGGAAATAATGGACCACGGAAACTTCTTTGAATCACTTCTGAAACCTATTAAATAACAAAACAGTAGCAGCAGGAAGGAAGGAAGTAAAATTCTGAGCCACATGCTGACATGGAATCTTAGGGCCACTGCCTTTTTCTACATTTGACCTAGCTGGAGTCACAATTACGAACAGCCTCATGTGAAACTGGGCCTGGGGGCTCATGCCTCCGACCCCAGCACTTGGCAGAATGAGGCCCAAGACTTCTGTGCATTCCAGAACAGAAAAGAGGAAGAAAGAACAATTATCTACTTAAATGGAAGACTCCTCAGTTTCTAGTCTAACAACCAGTGATGGAATCTCCAAATCAGTGAAACTAAACTTGTTCCATCACACAGAAGCGTCTTTATTCTCAAGTATTAATATTAATACTGGACTTCTGGACAAGAAAGGATGTTTACATACCATCTTCATAACCCATCGGATATGAAAAGTGCACACAGGCTGACTCCACTGATGGACACTATCAACTCAACACTAGCTATCTGACTAGAGCCTATAATAAGCCATTTTCATTATTAAAACTACTAAATTGGCTAAAGGCTCCTGCAAAAGCCTGACAGTTTCCAAGATAGTCTCAGACCTAAAACAAAACATGACTTGTATACGGCTACCAGTCACCTGTACCTCAAACAGAAATGTGGCCAGCTCTTGTCCTGGTTTACATTCTGCAATGGTTCCTCAGGAAACAAGAAAAATCTGAGATTTTTTTTTGCGGGGTGGGGGGGGTGTGGGGGGGTTTCAAGACAGGGTTTCTCTGTGTAGTTTTGGTGCCTGTCCTGGATCTCACTCTGTAGACCAGGCTGGCCTCGAACTCACAGATCCTCCTGACTCTGCCTCCCCAGTGCTGGGATTAAAGGCGTGCGCCACCACCACCCGGCTAAATCTGAGTTCTATAGCACAGAATACAAGGCCCTTTGTGACCAGATCTTTTCCCACTTTCTCAGTTTCTGTTGTGTGCAGTTCCATGTGAACATCACACTTGCCTGTAATTATCATGTGCCCTCTTTGTTTTTAAATCACATTGGCCTACATTCAGTCCCGTGAGTATACCATGACCCTGTGGCTGGGCCACTGATGGTTTTTTTCTAGGCACAGACTACACTTTAACCATTGCTTCATTCTAACCTTTTAGTTTTAAAGCTCTGTTTTCATGTCCTTAGAAAGCCTTTCTAGGGGGCTGGAGAAATGGCTCAGCGGTTAAGAACACTGGTTGCTCTTCCAGAGGTCCAGAGTTCAATTCCCAGCAACCACACAGTAATAGGATCCAATTCCCTCTTCTGGTGTGCATGAAGACAAGTCATTCATATACATAAAATAAATATTAAAAAAAAAAAGAAAGCCTTCCTAAACACTCTAAATTAGTCAGACATCTTACACTACCACTGTGTCAGCTTTCACAATTCAACTACATGCTATGGGACACTCCGTCCATCACTCAAAATGAACCTAGGGCCTCACAACATGCTAGGCAAGTGCAGTACCCACAAGTTCCAGTCCCAGCTCCACTAGCTTTTGGACTAGTGTTGTAAGGGTAGGGACACCATCTGCTTTGCTTATCATTTAATTCCTGGTGATTCACACAGAGCAAACATTAATAGGCAAGAAAAAAGGATCCCTTCAGTGAATTTGTTATAAAAGGTATAATTCCAGGGGATTATATCAAACTGACAAGCTTTTCCAACACAAAGAAAACAGTCAACAGAATGAGGAAACAACCTGATGAATGGGAGAAAATATTCAAACTATTTAATCAACAAGGGATCAATATTCAGAGTATATGAGGAACTCAACAATCAAAAAAACAAAGCAAAACAAAACAACAACAACAAAAACCCTACAAAAAAAAAAACTGACTAAAGATGGACAGGCCATCTGAACGGACCGTTTGGGATTGTGTTTGTTTGTTTTGCTTCGGCTGGCCTGGAACTCACAGAGACCTGCCTGTCTCTGCCTCTCAGTGCTGGCACTGTGGGACTAAAGGGGTGTGCCACTACTTTCAGCCCTGACAGACATTTCTTAAAAGACATGTGGAAGCTGCATCAATTCCTTCTGACTAGACAGAACACAGGACAAAATGGTACATTACCACTGAAAAATAAGAAACATTCTTAATTTCAAATCACAGCTGAGTAAAGATTTCAGAAGACTGTGACCTCCTATATTGTCCATCTCTTTTATGTGTATATGAGCACAGCTTGGAGGCCAGAGGTCTACACACTGTGCTCATCACCCTCTGCCTCATTTTCTGAGACACTGTCTCTCACTGAACCTGAGGCTCATCAGCCGGCTAGACTGACTGGACTGCCTGTCCCCTCCCTCCCCCACCCTCCCAATGTTGGCGTTACAGGCACACACTGCACATGTGGCCTTTTATGTGGTGCTGAGGACAGAGCTCAGACCTTCATGCTTGCCCAACAAGGACTTTACCCACTGATTCCATCCCACACTGCCTCTTTGTTTTCTTTTAACGTACATGTGCATGTGGTGTGGGAGTTTGTTCTCTTCATTAGGTGGGTGCTGGGACTTGAACTCAGGCTTCTATATTGCCATTCTTATACCAGCACTGTCTCAGTTTCATTTTGTTTTACTCTCATGTTGTAACTACAACCAGAAACTAAAAAAAGATGAATGTTTCCTTCGACTCAGCTCCCTTTTCCTACTGAGACAGTCCAGGATCCCAGGCAGGGAATAGTGCAGTCCACAGTGGGCAGGTGTTTCCATCTCGGTTCTAGATCAAGCTGACAACTGAGATTAACCATCATGAGCATGGGACCTCAAAAATATCACTGCTATGGTTTAGATATGGCTTGTTCTCTAATGGTTCATGTCTTGGAGGCTTGATCCCCAGTCAGCAGTATAGAAAAGAGCAGGGTATGGTTCTGCATGCCTGTAATCATTCATGCTCTTTAGGAGGTGGAGGCAGGAGGATTAGAAGTCAGAAGGCCTGTCTCTCCATTGAGTTTGAGGCCATCCTCAGCTATAAGAGAATGTCTAAACAAAACGAAAGACAAAAAACTCAACCAAACAACAACAATAAAAATAGTATAGGAAAGTAGTTGGAACTTTAAGAAGGACCTCATAGGAGGTAATGACAACCTTCAGAATAGATTAATGCTGTCAGAGAGCACAATGATTTCTGAGGAAGCAGGTTCCCACCAAGGGTGACTGGCCCCTCCTGACTCTTCTGCTTCTGAATCTTGAACATTCCCATAAGCAGCTGGCTCCTCTTCTGAATCTTCACCATCTGTGACACTGACCTCATCAGACACCAGGGTTGTGCTGTTTGGAGTTTCTAGCCACTAGAAACAGTTCACTATATAGCCTTAGATCACTGGAGCTTAATATATAGAGCAGGCTGGCCTCTGCCTCTGCCTCCTGAGTGCTGGGATTATAGGTGTGTACCACCAGGCCTACATAAAGTACAAAAGAGACTGGGGCAGTCACAAATCTCACTATGTCAGGAAGCAGTATAAAGGCCTCAGGAAACGAAGACACGAACAGAAACACACTGTCTGTAGCGAGCAGACTGAACCAACAATCGCACTTACCAGGTAGTTTGCTAGGCACGACAGCACACCCTGCAGGCAGGAGGACCAAAAGCTCGGGCTACACAGTAAGACGCTGCAAGTCTTGCTTGTTTGTGTTCTGTTTTACAGACAGGGTAGCCCTGTGTCCTCTAGGCTGGCCTTGAATTCCTGAGTTCAAGTGATCCTCCTGTACTAAGTAAGGGTTTGTGCCAGCAAGCCCATGAGAGTCTGTTTAATAGTTCCTATTACCAGCATTTTTTTAAAAAAGATTTATTTTTATTTTATGTGTATGGGTGTTTGCCTGTGTGTACGTATGTGCACCAGATGTATGCCTGGTGTAGGTGGAGGCTGGAGTCCAGAAAAGGGTGTTGGATCCCCTGGGAAACTGCCATGGCTGTTGGGAATCAAACCTGGGTCATCCTCTACAAGAGCAGCAAGTGATCCTTACTACTGGGCCATCTCTCCAGCTTGAAAGTGTTTTCATAGATCTGTTTATTATTCACCATAGAAGATATCAAGATGGGAAACATATCATAAGCAAATGTGAAGCTTCTAAAATTATATAGCAGCTGCTTACCTTTTTCTGTGCCTGAGAATATGGAGATGATTTTGTTTCTGGGTTTTTTTTCCTCTGGAACAGAAGGCAAAGGTTTCAAACTGTGATTGGCCGATAAAGGATCTTTTCCTCCAGTGCTAAAAATGGTACTGCTCATTCGCACAGGAGGTGCTGGGGGCTTGTCTTCTAGTTCTCCGTTATCAGACATGATTCAGAATTACGAAATGGCCTGCAAGAGAGCAACCCCCAAACAATTAATAACAAGGTTAAAGACAACACAGAGCCGGGCGGTGGTGGTGCACGCCTTTAATCCCAGCACTCGGGAGGCAGAGGCAGGAGGATCTCTGTGAGTTCGAGGCCAGCCTGGGCTACAGAGTGAGTTCCAGGAAAGGCTCCAAAACTACACAGAGAAACCCTGTCTCGAAAAACAAAAACAAAAACAAACAAAAACAAACAAACAAAAAAAAAAATCTTGCCTTTTGGGGCTGGAGAGATGGCTCAGAGGTTAAGAGCACTGACTGCTCTTCCAGAGGTCCTGAGTTCAATTCCCAGCAACCACATGGTGGCTCCCAACCATCTGTAATGAGATCTGGTGCCCTCTTCTGGCCTGCAGACAGACATGCAGGCAGAACATTGTATACATAATAAATAAATCTTAAAAAAAAAAAAAAGATAACACAGACAGTAATTACCCCCACCACAGCTGCAAATTAGAAAATGTGACCCCGTTAGGGACATTAGTAAAATTTGGATAAATAAATGATAAAAGATAAAACAAATCTGTCTCAATAAAACCAATCTCCACTAAATAGACACAAAAATGCTTGAAGAACATGTTCACACTAACACATCACAAGTGATTTAACTAACCAATGGTTCTGAGATGATTCCAAAATAAAAATGGACATGTTTGTGTGTTGCCTCATTTTGGAGTCACCTGGGAAGAGGAAAGTAAGTGAAGAACTGCCTCCATCAGACTGGCCTGTGGGCAGGTCTGTGGGTGGCTCCTTAGCTGATGACTAAGGTGGGAGGCCCAGCCCACTGTGACAGTTCCTCCCTGGGTAGATCCTGGGTCACGGGAAAGCAAGCTTCTCGAGCCACGGGGAACAAGCCAACAAGCAAGCAGCATTCCACATGGTTAAGCTCCTGCCTCGACTTTCCTTGATAATGGACTGCAATATAAATATAATATTATATTATAAAAATGGCCACCTTACCAAAAGCAATCTACTGATTCAAGGCAATCATTAAAATTCCAATGCCACTTTTCACAAAAATAGGAAAAATAAACCAGGTGGTGGTGGCACACACATTTAATCCCAACACTTGGGAGGCAGAGGGGCGGATTTCTGTGAGGCCAACCTGGTCTACAGAGCGAGTTCCAGGACAGCCAGGGATGGACACACACACACCCCTCATAATGTTTGAACTAAGTTTAATACTTTTGTTTTGGGTCTCTTTCTACCCATGTGGCCCATGAACTGCAGTTTGGACATGCCTGACAGACTATACAAACAACTAAAGAACAAAACAAAACAAACCTAAATAACAAGAAATCAAACAGCCTGATCAATAAGTGGGCTAATGAAATTAACAGTTCTCAAAAAGCAAAATCCAGGAGCAGTGGGGTGGCTCAGTAGATGGAGGTGCTTGCATCCAGGTCCGACAACATTGTGATAGAACCCTACAAGGTGACAGGAAGCAAACTGAATTCCAAACATGTCCTTTGGCACTATTGCATTCACAAACACTTGCACACAAAATAAATCTGAAATACAAACAGCAATAAACATATAAAGAATATCCAACCTCAATAAACCATCAGGATAATGCAAATTAAAGCTAAGCTGAGATTCCAATATCAGTAATTAGAATGGCAGTCATTAAGAAAACAACAATAAACGCTATCAAAGAGTCCAAAAGGAGCCCTTGAGGATTATTACTGGTGGGAGTGTGAACTGGTCCAGCCATTATGAAAGTAACAGTGGAGGTTTCTCCCAAAACCAGCACAAGAACTTCTGTTAAGACCCAGTGACATCACTGATGGTTTTACCAACGGACTCCAAGTCAGGATGTCACAGAGGCACTTGAAGGCCAGTGCTCACTACAGCACTGTTCCGGAGCTACACGATGGCACAGACATAGGCATCCAAGAAGATGATAAAGAAAATATGGACTGCATGTGACACATACAAGTGTCTGAAGGGACAGAGGGAACTAATGAGATAGGCAAGGAAAAGGGAGCACAGGGCATTCTGGGGAGTCAAGGGCTCAAATACAATATATACTTGCACAACAACTTGTGTGCTATGGACGCAAGGGTCAGTCTCTGAAAATCTGACACATGGGACCTGAATGATCCAAGTACAGTGATAAAGTTAAATGTATAGCATGCCCAAGAATCAGTGTGGCTGTAATGCCAAGAATCCATCTGTCACCTTGTAATGCCCTGCTCAGATACACAGGTAAAGGCGTGAGGAGACAGGAACTAAAGTCTTTTGACCGAGGAAAGCTTTTCAGGCTGAGGAGCCCAGAGGTAAGAGGTGGCTTGTTCCTTTGTCTCTCTGATCTTAGAGCATTCACCCCAATATTAGGCTCTAGGTTTTTTATCAAAAGACCATTTAGCAATTTGTGTTACACACAGATGACATATCATAGCTAACTTGGTGAAAATTTTAGCCTCATTTACGTACAAGTATAGATATTTAGTATGTCTTTTATATTTAAAAATAGTTACGTGTGAGTGTATTCTGTGTGTGGGTGCCTGAGGAGGCCAAAAGTAGGTGTCTGATCCCTTGCACTGAAGAACCTGGAGTCTGAACTTTATCCTCTTGAAGACAGCTGCTGAAGCTGCCTCTCCAGTTTCCTCGTCTTTGCTAATCTTCCTGAGAGTGTGCATATGTGTGCGTGTGCAGGTCACAGGGCAACTGCAGGTGTGAGCCTCGCTTTCCGCCATCTTTGGAGCAGTCAGTGTCCCATTTACTGCTGTGCATGCCAGGCATGTGTGTCACCATGCCTGACTCTACATGGGTTCTGGGGATCCAAACTCAGGTCCTAACACTAGTTTGGCAAGTGCTGCACCTTCAGAACCATCTCTCCAGCCCTACTTTGTTTTCAAATTATTTATTTATTTTGTGTGCACATGAAGGAGGGTGTTTGTGTAGGTGAATTTGCTCCTTTCAATGTGTGGGTCCTGAGGATCAGACTCAGGTCATCAGGCTTGGAGGCAGCTGAGCCATCTCACTGGCTCTCTTTTATCTTATTAAAACAGTAGGTTACAGCAGGAAAAGATCCCTACCTTACATAAATTCTGATAAAAAAGTATGTATGTTAGGAAACCAAAGAACTCCTCAGTAAACAAGATTTTGAATGGTAATTGGATATTAATCTTTTGTGAGGAAACTTTTGTTTATCTACAATAAAAAGCCAAGAGCATCCACATAAAATTTAAAATAATCTTTACTTCTTCAATTTAGTTCAAATTCTAGGACTTGGAGAAAAGCAGCTCTAATTTGAGAATAACTGAGATGCAGACATTATTATTTCCCTCTGAATCTTACAGCTTTCATTTCTTTCAGAGTATGTCACAAATTACTTGCTCTGGTGCACTACTCTGACATACATTATCTGCCACATTTGGTTAGTAAAAGAAATAACCCACCAAAAATCAAGAGCCTTACCTAAAACCTGCACACAGATCGAATACTAGGACCAGAATCCAAATATCCTCGCTCCTTCCTCGTGCTTTTCTCTGCTAATACAGAACTAGATGACTTTTGGCACTGAATTACAACTGTGACAATTAGTCATGATTTATGTCCTTTCCTTCCCCGACACTTCACTAAGTCCAAAGGGCAAGGGCTTTGCATATCTTAGACAGGAATGCTGACTGACTACATCAACCATTCTATTCCTGATGAAGTCTATCTTTCCTGAATGTAGTGGTCATTTTCTCACACAGCAGTTCACTAGACACACAGAAAGCATGCCATATTAGCAGGATTATCTCTGAAAAGCTTTATGCTTGCCCCTCACAGCTGACTTATGACCTTAGACTCTTTCCTACAAAGCAGCTGTCTGTGCAATGTTTCTACTGACAGAGGTAAGTGCCTGCAAGTGCCTAATAAGGTCCTGGTAAAATTCTTCCATCTTGTATTTTAGACAAGAACAATAGACACAAAAACAATTCATTGGATTGGAGACGTAGCTTAGTTGGTAGAGTGCTTGCTTAGTGTGCATGAAGCCCTGGCTGGGTACAACCCCCAGTGCTGTATAAAACTAGACAAAGGGGTGCATTGCATGTATCCTACCACAGGGAGGTTGGAGGCAAGAAGTTCAAAGTCATCCTTGACTGCATAAGGAGTCGAAGTCAGCCTGAGATACATGAGACTGTCTCAAAATCAAACCAAGTCAAACAAACTTCATGATAAAATGATAATATGCCGGGCGGTGGTGGCGCACACCACCAGCACTCAGGAGGCAGAGCCAGGTGGATCTCTGTGAATTCAAGGCTAACCTGGTCTACAGAGCAAGATCCAGGACAGGCACCAAAACCACACAGAGAAACCCTGTCTCAAAAACCAGATATAGATAGATAGATAGATAGATAGATAGATAGATAGATAGATAGATAGATAGATATAGACAGACAAAATGATAATGTACCCTATATTCTGTTCTACCACTACTCAAAAATGACGTATGAAAAAAAAAGCAAATAAGTAGTGCCACTTTCCAACCTGCTCACTTTTTGCTACTTTTCAGTGACAAACAAGTAACCAAACAGAAAGTGTGCCCAAACACACTGTACTCTTTAACAGGCCCATTGTTGAACTGCGACGAGCCTCAAACACAAACAATTACTCAATTGTGTACTGAAGAAGACCAGGGGTAGTTAAATACACAGCAGAAATAAAGAAGTGGTGTTTGGAACCAGTCAGTCCAACTAGTGAAAATGAATTTATCATAATCTACTGTGACTGACCATGGCACAGCAAGTGAAAAACGCATTACTGGAAAACACGGTAAAGTGTCATTCTGATTCAAACTTCTACTTACATTTTATATATTTTCAGTAACTTATTAATGTAGTAACACTGACCAGAACTCTAACAATTTCCCCATACGCTGATACCATTGCACCCCAACCGTTAAGAACCTCTCTGAGCATAAGTATAGATGGAGACACACCCAAATTACCTGCAGGTGCTGCCACACACAGACAGAGGCCTCCAAATTGGAGAGGAAGCAGTGCATCCCCCCCCTACACCATGAGAACAGCAGTCAGATCATCAGGCCAATGTGGCAAAGCTCCAAAGCAAAGAGGGGAGAACAAAGGGAAATGAGACCGCATCGATTCAGAGCAATACAAGTCTGCGTGACTGATCAAAGATCTCAAGTCATGGGGCCTGCGGGACGGCTCAGTGGGCAAGATACTTTCTGCCAAGCCTGACGGCCTGGTTCTATCTCAGAATCCACAGGGTGAAAGGGGCATCCACACCCTCAAGTGTTGTCCTCTGACCCCCCCCCCATGCATACACAAATTAAATGAGTGTAAAAACCAAAGTTTTTAAAGTTTAGTGCACAAATGATACCAGTAAATAAAATGAGAGAGAATTCTAGTGAGTCCACAAACAAGGTGAAAAGTTACTTGGAGTAAGCCATTTGTTAACCCACTTATTCTCAATGATGTTTGACTAAACCACTAAGCTACTTTGATGGGAGTCAGAAGGGACAGGAAACAAAACCAGTCTGCCTGAGTTTGAAAACTCTAATAGAAGTCCCTTTCACATAAAGCTAGGAGCTAAAACGCTGGAGTCTACAGGGACCAATCAAAATAAATCTCACCGGGCAGAAAAGAATGAAAAGACCTTAACCAGTGAGTCTCAGCATAGTGAAGGGAGCAAACAAAACCACTGAGAAATCCCAACATTTCACCATGCTTGTGCCTTTGCTTGCACTCAGGAGACAGAAGCAGGTCTGTGAGTTCGAGGCCAGCCTGGTCTACAGAGTGAGTTGCAGGACAGCCAGGGCTACACAGAGAAATCCTGCCTCGAAAACAAAACAACAAAACAAAAAAGGCAGTACTTACTTGAACAAGCATCACATGTAAGTTGAAAAAAAGACCAAAACGTTGTTTTATTCTGAGTTACAAGTATTTCTGAACGGTAAC